TCCAGATTTTTGTCCTCTAAGAGCCTTAAAAAAATTGTGGCACAGGGAACAGAAGTCACCGTACATTTGTGCTTCAGGTGCAACTTAGTTCTGAAACGCGGTGCCAGAACGCGTCGTTGTCAGGTGTCAAGGGAAGGTAAATACCACGGTAGCTTTGATTTTCCAGTTCCTAATCACAGTAATGGCTTAAGAGGATGGAGGAGTAGACCAGGTCATGTTCTGCTTTTCCTTTCTGACCGAGAAGAGTCTCGTGAGGGAAGAATCAGACTTCTTGTGAGAAAATTTCTGCTAATACTGCCTTGTCCAACTCTCACGTGACAACGGGTGACCCTCTGTGTAACGCTGCCTTTGCTTAGATCCTTACAGAAGGATTTGAACTGCAAGCTCTGTCAAATGGAAGCGCTCCCTAAAAGGAGGAGTAATAAGTGAAGAATTATTACTGATGTCCAGTGAAAGGTGTATCTAGATCAGAGGATGTTTTCTTGAACCTTCTTGGTTCCTTCCTTGCACGTAGATGCCTTTGGGCTTACGCCTATTTATTGACATGCAATACTTGCCCTCTGCCTACACACGCTGCTCTTGTCCCAGTGATCTCAATTTGTTCAAGGAGAGTGCATCGTTATAACTCATGTGCAGAGGTATCAGAAGGAAGGGAAATAGCTGGGAAAAAAGTTACTGGAGCATGTAATACAGTGCAGCAGCTGGCTCACATTTTCATCTTCTAAAAGCTACCTTTTCCCAATGCATGTTCTCTCGTGGTCTCAACTGATGTAATGCATACCATCATAATCCCAGGTTCCTGGGACTGGGCTGTATTTCTGACAAGGAAGGTGGTGGTATTTTTGCTCCAGATCTTGACTTAATTCACAAGTGTAGGTGAAAAGCAGTCTTGTGGTGTAGTCTTGATAACAAAATCAGTGGCTGCTTCTGGGCATTGGGGATCTCCTTCAGAGAAGTCAAAACTAATCTCAGTGGGCCGCTCTGGAAAGGGTTATGTGCAGGTGAGTGTGTTACCGATGGCCGGCTGCGAGTCCTGGAGGTGCTGAAGTGTGTGGAGAGGGGAATGGTGTAAGAAACAGTCATACCCGAGCTGCAGCATAAAGCTAAGGAGGTGAAGCTTGACTTCTGGCTATTCCGCGTGTGTTCGGAGGCAGTTGTGGGAGAGCCTCATATCTGGTCAGCTGTTGTGTCACTGCACTAAGCTGGTGTGATCAGGAAACGGCTGCGGAATTCCCAATGCTTTGCTGGCCAGTAGCTGCTGAGTCTGTGAGCCTGTGAACTGGACGAGCTGTTGCTGTACAACCATTCCAAGGGAAGGCAGCAGGCAGTGTTTTGAACTTCACAGCAATGCTGTACCCTGCTCCTGCTCTGTGCCTCTAATTGACTTAAAAAGCTTTCCACGTAACTTAAAAAGCACAAACTTATTACGCACGTAAACATATTACGCACTTAAAATACAAAAATTTCTGACTAAATGCCAGTTTAGCTTCAGGCTCCTACGCCATTTGCAACCAACTTATCTGGAGGGGAACTGGTGTGGAAAATCAGTGAATGTTTCCGTTATTTCTAGTTCTAGACTCTATATAGGGCTTTACTTGTTAGTAATCTGTGCAGTATGCTTCTGCTGTAGGTATTGGACTTGATGAGATAGGAATGGAGAGCTGGAACTGCTGTCAAGATTCTATGTTGTTGCCTCCTGCAGGAATTGGCTTGGTAAAGCTTTGGAAACGGAGGTTATCTCCAACTTTATCCAGATGTATTTTTGTCCTTGACTTGAGGCTTTTTAAATTGATCTCTCTATGCAAGAGTTGATTGACCAGTCTGAAATCAATTTGGATATCAGTTTTAGCTACAGAGTTGCTGTGTTGAAACTGATGGTAAATTTTGCCAACTAGAAGAGTGTCTAGCGGCAAGCTGTTCCTTTGGTGTAAAGAAAAAGAGGTTTTCTGCCTGAGAGTCACTGCTGCTTTCCTGTTGTCTGGAAGAGCTGGAATAACTTTCACAAAAATCCCTGAGCTACCAACCACTGCCGGGAGGAAACAGGTACTTCTATGGGCAGATGAATTTGCACTCTGCAAGCTGCCATCGCATTTGCTTGCAAGAAAGGTGCTGTGGCAATGAGAAGGCTTTGATGCCTCTATGAAAAAGTGAGCCTTGTGTTACGATGCAGGCTGTCATCACTGCAGTGAGCTTTTCGGGTGAGTTAGCTGAGCTAGCCCAAGAGTTAAGCGCCTTCCTAAGGGGTAAGCAAGCTGAATTGGAGCTGTTGCTCTAAAAAGCAGAGATTACTGATTCAATTCAGAAAACTCTACATGTGGGACTGAGAAACACTAAGAAACTGGAGCTTTTTCCTCATTACAACTTTTATTTCATATAAATAATCCCTCTACATCAGTTTTTTCAAGTTTTCAGTCTTTCTCTCACTGTAAAGAAGAAACAGCTAGCCACAGTTTTCTGAAAAATTGCAATCCAGGCACCAACCAAAGTGCATTCCAGCAAAGTGTTAATAGGCAGGAAAAAATTACCCTTACAACAGGCACTATCTGTACAGTCCCATCCCTGGAGCTTGGTACAGACTCAGTCCTTCCTAGGCATCATTAAATGCAAAGTTACTTGGATTTGCAGGAGAAAAAGAAGAGGGAAATGGGGGAAAAGTGTCAGTTTTCCTTTCAGAAAGGAGCCTAGGGCAGTAAGGTAACAGCAACAATTGCAGTTGGGCTTTTTATCTCTACAACTAAGTGCTGGACCAGGGGCAATGTAAAAGTTTCTGTCTACCTGGCTGTGTGCCTGACTGCTGCTGGGGTGCAACAGGCTCTTGATCCGAGACTGTATTTTGCACGGGCCGTGAGGCAAGCCAGTTCCTGGTATATGCTGGTAATGACTCAGGCTGACTGGATGAAGATTGAGGTCAGTGACCTGATGTAAAAAATAATAACAAATTAAAAAATTAAACAATTGTAAGCAAGTTTTTGAGCCAGTCAGATAAGGAAAATCAGCCTTTAACAGTGATGGAGAATCTCCAGGACCTGGAGCAGTTTTACAATCTGGCTTTTATCTATCTGTTCTTTTATCTGTTGGATAAGTCCAAATAAACCCAGTCTGAGCTTTGGTGGGGTGAAGATGTTTCTACTAATAAAACATGAAAGCTGCACACTCTGTTTCTGGCTAATGCCTGGTCTGAAGCCAGCAAACTTTCCTGAATTTGGCACGTAGAGGGAATTCCCAGGCTTGTCCTTCATGAGAGAGGTACTGTGGATCTAAGTTATGTGGAAAAACAAAATGTTTATCTGTGCAAATATTAGTTTATTAAAACAGCGTACAGTATTTCAGTCCACACACGCCAACCTTATCACCAAGGCAGTCTGCCATTTTGGTTAGCGAATGCATCCTGCAATGAAATCCAATAAATCTCCACGCCTATGTGTCTGCACGTACATTTACTCCTGCATCAAGTTTTAGAGCAGCACTTCAAAATGAGGGCGATACCCTCTCTGCTTTGTCATTCAGAAGTCAGAAATTATGTTGTGTTATTCCTTGTGCCTGCTTTCTGCCTTCTCCTTAATTGGTAGCCATATTTCAGCTAGGTCCTAGTTTGCTGTGAATCTTTTAGCTGCTTGGATTTCCAAGCAGCTGGCATTCTTGCTCATTTATGCTTGTAAATGCTCATCCAGATCCTCGATTTGAAAGATGTCTTTTAAGGCCAGGTCAAAATGTCTGCATGGCAGCTTCCAGGGGAATTGCTGCCCTCTTATTCAAGCACAAGGCTATGAAAGGCACAACCAGGAAGGTGAAAGCATTTGATAGGAAGCCTTAGACCTTCAGCTCCACTTTGGCCTGGGTTCTGCTGCCGACTCCTTTGTGCAGTGTGGTGGAGAAGGAAGGTTATTGCATTTGTGCTGTCCTCCTCCTTGCCCTGCGTGGCACATAGAGCTGCAAGTATCTCCAGTTACTGTAGCCTTCCTGGTCTTACGAAGCAGGCACGGTGTTTTGCTGAGCTGCATGCATACCTGTTCAACCTAGCAGCCACCTTCCTTAGAAAAAAGCACAGTCTCCTGATGTGCTGAGTCAGCCGCTGCTGCTTGTGCCCTACTACATCTAAGAGGAGGAGGAAAGCAAGCTTTGGAAGGATGAGATGCTGTGGTTGATGTGTGCTTGTCAAAAGCACCTGCGCCCCACAGTGTAACTCGAGAATGCTCCATCGCCTTTGTGCCCCGTGACCCATGCAACTACCGTACATCTCTGCCAACACTTCAACCGCATACAAACCTCTAGTGCAAGAGCTGCTCTGAACGCTACTTCTTCATCCACCTACTGAACTACAACGTAACGCCTCTCACCCTGTCTCCTAATGCTCTGTCAGTTGCCTGTTTGCACAGCCCCTGCCGTCCTCCCCGCACATGCAGTTCCCTGCCAGCCTCTGGGGGAGGAAACGGGTGGGGTGCCCAGAAACCTAAATCTTAACTTTAAACAGAATTAGTTATTAAATAAAATAAAGTGCATCCAGTAGACATTTCATTGGCTTGCCACACAGCTGCAATATATGCAAAACAAATACAAAAGAAAAGTGACGGTGTTTTCTTTGTAGGTTGGGAGTGTGTGTAGCCTTCCCGGTCCTTTGGCATACGGATAGGAAAGGGTGATGCTGAAACTGTGAGCAGGGAGTGGGGGGTGGTGACGGGGGACCCCACGCATCATGAATGGGTGCTGAAGGGCACAGGGCAGGTGCTGAAAGCTGATTTCATAGAAGATCAAAGAGTGAGGACAAGCTTGTGCTCCTCTTCTCATCCACCACCTTCAGCACGTTATCCTGTGAAACAAGAGCAGAGATGGCAGCAGGATTATCAGTCTTTAGGGAACTGCTGAGCAGTAAATTAAAAATGTCTGCTGAGTTTCAACCTGACCTTCCTGCATGGCGGGGGCTGCTTGGGGGGTACCACCGCCTACCCGCATCATGAATGGGTGCTGAAGGGCACAGGGCAGGTGCTGAAAGCTGATTTCATAGAAGATCAAAGAGTGAGGACAAGCTTGTGCTCCTCTTCTCATCCACCACCTTCAGCACGTTATCCTGTGAAACAAGAGCAGAGATGGCAGCAGGATTATCAGTCTTTAGGGAACTGCTGAGCAGTAATAAAAATGTCTGCTGAGTTTCAACCTGACCTTCCTGCATGGCGGGGGCTGCTTGGGGGGTACCCGCCTACCTGTTAGGGAACTGCTGAGCAGTAAATTAAAAATGTCTGCTGAGTTTCAACCTGACCTTCCTGCATGGCGGGGGCTGCTTGGGGGGTACCACCGCCTACCTGCCAAATCCGATGGGAGCAATGGGGGGGGCTCCGCTGCCCAGGGATGAACTGAATGATTGAGTCTGGATGAAACACACTCCCAATCCTCCTCTGGGTTAGATAAGACTACTTCACTCTCCTTTTGTCTCAAGAACAATAATCTTTACATGGTTTTGTGTGTGCTTGTGCAGCACCTGGAGCAACAAGAGGAGGGGCTGATTTTGGGTAGGGCTTTGTGTCCCTCTCTTGTGAAACCTGGCCTGGGGTTGCAGCACTTGTGTTTGCCAAGGGCAGATGGGTGTATCAGCTTTTCTCTAGTGAAAACGGTAAGCAGTGGAGCCTGCTGTCCTGTAGCTGCCTCCAGACCTAGATACATTGATTTTAATTGGGAAAGGCAGACTTTTTTTTCTCTGCAGTTGCCAGATGCTTGGGTGCTGCTCAGAATTGCTGAGCTGGCATCTTCCTGCATCCATGTTTAAATCCACAGATCTGCCTTTTGCTGATGCAGATTTCAGCACCCAAAGCTCCCAAGAAAGGGCAGAGGGGGGGATATAAAAAGAAAAACAGATGAAATACCATGAAGGCAGGAGAGGCGATAGTAAGCTTGGCTCGCATAAAAAGGAAACCTCTAAAGGAATCATTCAAGGACACAGCCACGGATATCTAATACAGAACTGCATTGAAATCGTACCCGAGGTACTGAAATAATCAAGACTATGTACAGCTGAGAGGAGATTCTAAGACTGTTGCTGGAGACATTTTTCATTGTCCTGTATGTGTGCAATGGATGGGGTTGGCCGTATCCTGCTGCCGAGGGGGTGCTCAATGCTGCAGCAGCACACTTCTGGGATTTAGCGCTATTGGGAAGGGCCAGGAAGCAGATTTTCAGAGTTGTGCTTGGTGGTCCAAATATTGTAAAATAATCAGTTTTACAAGTCTGAACTGACTCCAGAGCTAGCTCTGTTTATTGTTAATCTATTTTATTAGTAATGGTTTCAAAAGCCTCTTTGACAGCCCTGCGCTATTAGTGCTGGTAGACAATTCTCTTTCCTATTTTGCAGTATTATCCTTTCAATACAGACACCACCTTTCTGTGCATGAGTGAGTCTTTACAGCCAAGACACTGGTGGGCTTTAAAGTCATTACTTCTCTTAGTAATTAGACATAGTGATTAGCATGTCTCTCATTTCACACTGTATCCTCTTTTCCGTGCATAACTCAAGGGCCGGTCAGAGATTTAGCAAGCTCTGCGCTGGCGTGACTGTTGTGAGTCGGAGCTCAGGAGAGCGATGCGGCTGTGTGCTGCCTTTGACTCTGCCATCAGCAGCAAGGGGATGCAGTGCCAAATTTCACTCCATGTGTCACTGTCACATGAGAGGATTAATGCAGATCGCTGGTGGACTATCTCAAAGGCCCCATCTGCCTCACATTTCCCAGCCTGACAGAGCCTGGCTGGACATGGGATGTCACTGGGATGACTTTCACAGCCAAGCCAACAACAGTCCATTGTAGGACCTACCGTTAAATCTCATGTCATGGGGGTGGATGTACATGAAGTCCCTTAAGACTGCAGCTGAATGTAGCTGATGAAGCCTGGCAATTTGGCCCTTCTTCCTTCAGCTGAGATTAGCACTATCCATCCTCTGCTTGGGTTGGAAGGCATCATTTTCTTGGGTCTGTCCTGGGGCAGGTCCAGTTACCAGAGACAATTTTGTTCTTAGTGGACCGCTCAGACAGTCTCATGAAATACCACAAGGCAAACTCAGACATGACATGTAAGGACCATCTGTTAGACATCATTATACCAGATTTTCTCACTTAGCTTTTTTTAAATGGAGAGAGATATATATATATCAGCTGTTCCAACATACACTGTAAGGCCAGAAAAAAGACCAGTAAGATCATGAGACCTCTTCTACCTAGCACAGGCCATTGTACATCCCTGAATTAATTCCCATTTGAATTAGAAGTGATTTCTTTAAGGGGAAAAAAAAATCCTAATCCTGTCTAGATTTGCCGCTGGTAGAAAAATTATCACTGCAACCCTTGATGAGCTTAAATATGTAAAGATAGTCTTTGGTGAAGATTCCTGTTGGAGTGGTTTAAGATATTTTCATTCTCTACAGTCTATCTCTTCCTTCTCAACAGCAGAGCTGGCAGAAAGGAAGGTGCGCCTGTGCCCCTTGCATGGCAGACCACAGTGTGGTGCATTTGTCTCTAACTCCTTTTCATCTGGGGTTTACATTAAGAGGGTTAACACAGGTGGCTGAGGTATGGGCATGTGCTCCCTTCTGCCAGCTCCGAGGTAACAGCAACAACTGCAGGCTACAAGAGCAGCTCCGTTTTCAATGTTTAGAATGGCAACAGCTTGCCTGTCAGAGCCCTAAATTATGTTTAGACTTGTTAAGCTCCAATAAGTAGCCATAAGGAAGTATCGGTGCTCCAATGACTAGCTTTGGTCTGTGACTCTCAACACATTAACAGCTTCTAATAGTTCCTTCTCTCCTCAAGTCACCCTGACAAACCAAAGAAGAGACAGAAGCTCTTGCAAAGTGCCAGAGAGATTTAGGAGTAAAGAGCCTACATTTCCAGACGGGATGTGTACACTAATTCTTTTGGGTGTCAGTGAAAGCATCTGCTTTGACAGTGGTCACCAAATTCAACAGGAGCATACACAACTTTGTCATCAAATTCATCCTGTTGCTGTCACAAGCACCATGTTACCTAATCCCTGCCAAAGCATGCTGGTCAGGCCAGCCTCGAAGGTGACAAGAGTTCCTGCTTCAACCATGGCATGCTTCCAAGTCATCTGTCCTCTGCCAGGTAGTAACCTTTTTCTGATTTTCCCATATTTATTCACGGGCTTCTTCGATACATTGATTCTTGCACCAGCATTGTTTTCTGGCTTGAATGTTTCTTCTCGTTCACTGGTCTTTACTACCCTACTGGATTTATAGAGATCATGACTCCATCTCTTTCTGCCTTCATTTTGCTAGACTAAACAACCATTCCCCGAACATCCCTGGAGTCCTTCCCTGTGTTTCTTCAGTCCAAGTACATTTCTCTTGAACTATTCCCACATAATCCCTGTGTTTTCCAATGTTAATAGTATTTTCTCATGTTGTGCCATGGGAAAGGCTTTCCGTCACTCCAGGAGTATGAAGATAACTGCATCAAGTCCTGTATTAAGCCATACGACTGCCTAATTCTGCATGAGGACTAAACTCTCCGCTTTGGTGATACGTGGTGCTAAGATGTGCTCTGGGAATTTGAAATGCCCATAGCATGATGGTGGGCTCCGGAAGGTGTTGTGGGCTGCAGGAAGGACCAGCGAGGCTGATGCTATTCCAGTCAAGCCCTTGAGACCTCAGCCTGCCAATCCTAGGCCAACTTCCAAGACATAACATCAGATGGTATATTCTTGTCTCTTGAACCTTGAGGAAACTGGTATGTTCTTCGGTAGCTCTGTAACTGTATTGAGAAGTGTTGGTTTCTGCTTGTACTGCTTCCTGCACCAACCTTTAGCACTGGTTTGCATCAGAAAGCTGACCCCTTCTGACCTCAGGCCTGCAGCGCACAGGCCCTGCCTGTCCCACTCCTGTTTACGTCAGCCAGAGCTGCAAGGTCAGATCCCTGGAGCTGCTCTGGAAATCTACCCCCAGCTGCATTTTCTCTAAAGATGTTAAGATTAATTTTCTCAAGAGAATTCAGGGAAAAGCTTCTGTGGTTTTTGTGTATCGTTTACTTCTCTGGGACTTGTTGGACATTCTCCAGGGATTCCAGTCCTGCGCTTCGGGTAAATATTTATTCCTTGTTATTTGAAGCAAAGGATGAAAGCCCCACCACACTCTCTGCACAGCATCTCCAACTGGTTTGAAGGTGATGGAGATTTTTAGTGCCATAAATAGACATTAGCAGTGGAAGCTGTGAAACCCACATGGTGGCTGCTTGCTGCAAGGAGCTGCTGTTCTGCAGAAATGGATCAGCCGCGTCTGCGGTGGGGAGTGAAATCTGCACATTAATGTGTCTGGGACATGGGCCCCACAAAGCCCAGGAGCAGGGCAGGTGGAGAGCATATTGTTATCACCAATTACTGATGTCTACTGCTGCTACAGATACCTGCTGTGCTTTGGGACATGTGAGATCTGTGAACAGAGGGCATGTCCCTGGCATCAGGTTAAGTGACCTGGTACAGGATTTTCTACTTGATGAAAATTCCACGATATAAACTTTTTAATGGAATGATATTTTTACATTCCTTTTGGGGTTGATAGGTTGTATTTTGCAAAATCATACCATCTGTTTCAATGCTGATTTTCCAAAAATTGCACCATATCAAAACTGAATCATCAGTATTTAAAAACATAACATTAAAATTTTCTGGTTTGAAAAGGTTTAACAAGGGCTCCACTTCGAGTTTTATGAAATACGGAATCTTGAAGCAGACACACTTCTGGTACATGCATGGCATTTGTCAAATCTGTATTTTTCACAGAAGAAAAAAATCTCACTGGGAAGTTACCTACTACCTCCTGGCATGAAATTATTAACCAGTCTTGATAACCCATGGCGGTGCATCCCTCCAGATGCTTCTCCTTAAGGCTGGTCATATCTCATGTGGGTCCCGATTACAATAATCATCTTCCTTTTTTGCTTTGAACTCTCTGTCCTCCAAGACAGTAGTCATTCAGACTCTGTATAACTTGGATTCTCAATACAGACTTCTCTCATGTTTTCTGCCAGGCACTTCAGGGCATTCCCTGGTATAATGTCCACTGGTTACATGGACACAGAACACAGTAAATGTTTCCAGCTGGCCTGGACTTACCACGACAGAGCTGCTCAGTACCTCCTGGAGGCTTGCATAACAACAACCCATTTACCTTGCCACATGAAGTCCTTCATCTACAGAGAATTTGTGTTACCATTGTTCACACACCACAGGGTGAAAAACACCCCCTCCTTCCCCTGCTGCAATGGGATAATCTTGTAATTGTGTTGGCCTGACGTCAGATCAATACAATTAGGCACGGATGTCTGCAATTCAGTGTAAGCATCAACTGTTAAAAACTATATGTGAGCCACCAGCCCACAGTCTCTTAACTGGATTATCAGCCATTCACTCAGGACTACCCATTTCTTAAAGATTATACTCAAGTAGTGAGAGGAAGCAAATAAGTAAGGTGGTTTGGGCACCTGAATTCATGGTACTAGACACAAAAGGAATAAACAAACTTTTAATTTTGCATTCTAACAAAAAAGTGCAGCTCTTTGTTTGATGCTTGATCTTACTGCTCTTTTAGCTTCCTGACTGATGCTCTTTTCCTGGTTCTTGCTAAACCTAGCTCTGCCCGATAATGCTGCACTTTTTATTAGACAGGCTGAAAAAGGCAGAATCATTAGCCTGCCACATGTGGTTACATTCATGAAGGCACTCCAGCAGATGTAGTGATGTCTCCCTTGAGGATGGCCACACCTATCAAGTCCCTTTGTGGGCCATATGCAACGGCTTTGCTGAATGCAGGTTTCCTATGGGTTGCATTTTGGGCAATCCTCGCCCGACAGCAAGGAGTCAGCTGCAGGCATCGGGCTCAGTAAGTCAAAAAACCAAATAGGAAAACCCTGCCAAGGATTCAAACGCACCTCAAATGGGGGCAGTCCTGAGGGATCTGGTTCTAAAGTATTGCTGTGAAATAACACTTTAGGGAGAAATACATGAAGATAAAATAGAGCTTTGCAGCTTTTTATATGTACTGTGGTCTAAAACTAATCTGTCAGTAGAGCACTAGGAAATAGAAGCCAAGGGAGAAGGGAAGTGACTGTTACCAGCCAGTGGTTATTTATGACTGCCATCTGTGTCATTATGCAGCCTGTCATGTTGATTTGGGAACTTCAAAGCAGCAGCAGGAATAGACACGAGACCTTTTCGCTCCAAACACACTGACAACTTAACTGACTTGAGCCAAATGAGCTTTTGCTTTTTTGGTGGTGGTTGTTGTCATTGTTGCTATTTTGTTGCTCCTAGGAGCCCTGCTATCAAGCCATGCAGATGAACTGTTCTGGTTGTGCTGAGCTAGTGCTAGAGAAATTCAGGTCTTGCATGTTTTTTGTCTGCCAAGGCATGTTCCTGACAAATTGGACACAGGGAGCAGACCGTTAAAGACAGGTCCCTGTCTTCCTCTTGGCTCTTCTCCCCACTACAAATAAATCATGGCAGAATTCACTCTGTCTGCAAATGTTCTTGTTTGGGAAATCCAACCCTGATAGTGGCCTGTCACTGGTGCAAAGGGAGAGCTCAACTTGCTTTGTGGTGACTTCAGCAGATAGGAGGTGACAATGATGCCCTAGAACATCATTAAAGACTAACAGCCAAGCAGCACTGATGCATTCATTCTCTAAATGCTCCTGCAGTCGATGGAATGAAAAAAAAAAAACCAAACCCAAAAAACCAGGAGAAACCCATTGCTGAGATGGGGGACACAGAAACTGCCTCCCTGGCTCACCCTGGCACCTCCTTGGGTGCCCTGCCAGCGAGAAAGTCAGAGGCTTCAGAGGAAAGTGCAAGAAACCTTCAGATGAAACAATCACAGACCAGTGTGCTCAGAGAGGATAAGTCATTATGTCTTTACTATGAATTAGTGATTGGTGATGATTGCTCTAAGGACTAAAAAGAATGAAAATGCATTCTCTCAGTGTAAGATTTGATGTAGCTGTGCCTATTCCTGTGATCCTAACACAAGTCAGCACTGCCACTTTTGGTTAAAGGCCGACTCTCCCTAAGTGACCTGCCGTCCATATCCTGCACAGGGGTCCCCTGAAATCTGAAGCATCTCCTAAATAAAAGGAAATACTAGAAAAGGAAAGCATCTTGCTTTAATTTGTCTGCATCAAAAGGTGGTATCTGATGGTGAGTGCATAGTTTAGGCACACCTGGAAACTCATCTTAAACTGTTTGGGAAAGAGAGGAAAGTGAGGCAGGAGCATGCTCTCTTGTGGGGGCATGATCAGGCAAGGGAAAATGAGCATTGCAGATAGGAAGGAGATAGATGGGAAGGCAGGGAGGATGAAATAGTAGAGGGTAACTGGGACACCAGCTAACCCCTCATTTTCCCCTGGCATCACTACACTTGGTGTTTCTCAAGCAATAAATATTTTCAGAGAGCAATACCGGTCTCAGGTTCCAGCCTAGCCAAACAGATATGTGAGTGCTTAAGTGCAAACACTAGGTTAAGCCGCCTTCTCTTCTCCAAGACATAAGGCTATGTTTATAATTAAGCCTTCCATAATGAATTCATTGAGGAGGGATGGAGTGAAGAGCCATGCTGAAGTGGACTCAGGGACCTATTACCAAACCATAGGAATCTCCATTGCTGAGATGAAAATGGACTACTGTAATTTATTGTTTCCTCTTAGTTGGTGTCTAATTAAAGTTATCCTGAGTGAGAAAAGTAGTCATTAATTCCTTCATCCTCTACTTTGGGGTGATTTTTGTAGACTGGGGAGGCATGGCCTGGACAGTAAACTTCCTCTATGTGCATCCAGGTGTCTCTTAACATTTTCCTAAATGCTGTTGGAATTAATTTCCCTCACTTGAAGGAATTTTAGTTCAAGCACAGAACCAACTCCTGCTGATTCTTGGTGTTTTGTCTTTTTTAAATGGCTCTAACGCTTGTGCTTCTCCATGCCTTTTGTACAGTATTGGATTGTAGTGAAAGTCTTTTTGTTAGCAGCTTAACCACTTCATCCCTAAGCTCATTTGTACCTCTGGGATGAACACTAAGCAATACCCAGTGACAAGCTGCTGGGTCGGGGCCTGAAGAAAAGCCTGCTGGAATCAGGGAAAGGCGCTTGGTGGGGGTGATCTGCCTGCCTAGCTCTGAGCAGCTAATTGCCTGAAGTGCCTACTTACGGAGTATAGCTGCTGCCTCTCTACTTGAAGGATAGAGGCAGGAGTATCCTGAGAGCAATTCAGGTGTTAGGCAAGCTGGATTGCATTCTGGAAGTGCTCATCTCTCTCCTTTGAAGAGAAACGAAGCCCAGATCTTAACTTAGGTGCCTCTGTGCTCAGCCTGAGTTTTGTGGAGTGAATTGCAACCTTACTGCCTAACCTGGTGGTAGAATCACATCTTGACTTACTGGCCTGATCTAGCACCTGTGGGTATGACATCCTGATCTGTGTGTGACATTGCCTGGGAAGATCATGTCTTGCAAAGGTAACTGCCAAAGAGCCCCTACACTCTCTCCTTGCCCCTTCCTCCTAATTTCTACCTTACTTTTCTGTCTGTCATACTTTCTTCTTTCTCCTGGCTTTTCTTGTTCTGTATTTGCCTTTCTGAAAGAAACTTCTTTGCTTGGGTAAAACCTGGAGCATCACTATGTAACCAGATGTGTTCTTCCTCCTTTCTGTTTGGCTCATAGGCCTTTTCAACAGGAACCACCTTTGTATTTATACACTGCCTTGCATGTTAGTTTACCACATGTATAATTCAAAATGTAGCTGTAGCATTCACAGATCTTGTACTGGGAAGAGAATCCCACATGCAGTCGACCTTCTTCAAATTACTGTCCACAAGGTGGGCCTCTATAGCTTTGCAAGTGTTTTGGGAAAGGGACCATAGAGACCTCAAGTTATTCTAGTTATGATCACCCCAGAGACAGCAATAAATTCATCCTGCTATCCTTTCTGAGGTTACTCCTTCCCAGCAATAGTTTCAGTTTGTGCCCTAATTCATGTCACCAGACTCAGCAGTCCAGTTTTCTGTCCAAATTTTCCTGTCTGACTTTCCATTGTTTCCCCATCCACTCCAGGGCAGGTCTTTGTGATGCACAGATTTAGACTACCCGAGGGATCCATATCACTGTTAAATAACACTTTCGGATAGTTATCTGGTATGATGCCATTACAGCCACAGAAAATGAGGTTGTGGATCTGTACTATGACTGAGAGCGTTAACAAGATAACAAACACCATGGGGAGTGGGGTCAGGAACTCACCTTCTGTCTCAGGCAAGCCGGTACAATCTTTGCTAGTTGAGAGTGTCACCACTGTCCTTGTCCTTGCAATCCTCAGGCTGGTCCCCTTCCCTGGACTGTGATTTTGCTGTGTCCTGCTCAGACGCAACAGTCTTGTCAGAGTTGGCTTTCCTTGGGGGCAAAGGGTCTCCTCTGTGTTCAGTGCCTTCAGCATCTTCACCTCCTTTCAGTGCAAGTGTTTGCCCCTGAAGGGCAGTGTCTTGGGTCACTTCCTCGCCTCTTTTTCTCACCAGCTGTCCTTGACCTGCATCCAGTCTGTCTCCCACTGCCATGTCAAGCTTTCCTCCGTGGCCGTTTGAAGAGTCCTCAGTGGACTCCTGTTCTGAAGCTGTGTTTTTCTCTAAGCCAGCTCCATCTAAATTCACGCCCATGGGCAATGACAAGGTCTCCTCACTGCTGTGCCTGGTGGCTTGCACAGTGCTTGGAGGGCTGCTCTGTGAAGCAGTGCTGTTAGTGCTCTCCTTCTCCTGAGAGATGTCAGCAGTGCCAGGCTTCCCATTAGCATCTTCCCCAACGCCTTCCTTACTTGGCTTGGGCCCTGGCTCTGAGTCACCTCTGCTGGCCACAGACACCTCCACGCTGAAGCCCTTCACTCCTCTCCGCTCCTCCTTCTGGCCATTGTGGGCAGACTGGACCTTTCCACTTCGTAGCCTTTGTGATGAGGAGGCCCCATGATCTTGGAGGCTTGGCTGTTTCACCTCCTCCTCCAGCTCAGCTGTGCAGTTCTCTTCCACCCCCTCCTCACCTTTGCTCTTCCGCTTGTCCATACCAAGGCTCCTCTGAGAAAAGGAGGAGATATTTAGTTCAGCTTATTAAAATACCAGTATACAGTATTCCTGGTCTATGATGGCTCTCAAAACTTGAGGAAAAATTTGCGGAGGCCATTAAAGGACATAAAAGGATGTAGGTGGAGAAGAGAAGTGTTCAGGTACCAGAATAAGTGGGGTGGTTGTGCTGACAGAGGGTCAATGCAAGAAGTGAAGTTGCTCTCACATCATGCCACCTGGAGAGTGCTAACGAGGCATACATTTACCCCAACAGAGAGGTCTCCCAGCTCTGCACTGGCTGAAAGCCTCCAACTTTCCTGATAGTGCATGTTTTGAGAAAACTCAGCAGACAGTATTGAACTTATGAACTCACCTGGCTGTCAAGGTCATCCTTCAGAAAAGACATGTCCTCGCCTTCTTTTGAATCCCATCTGCCAAGAAAAAAAATAATCAGAATTTAGGCCTTCAAGTTCTCATATGGCAAAGCCACTCTCCCTGCCTGACACTTGGGTGGGAATGTCTACCAGGGCCATGCATTCCGTGTCTGAGCCCCTTGACCAGGCAGTGAGAGATAAAGGTGGCAGACTAACTGGTCCAGTTCCTTTTGGCACCTGCAAAGCACTCAGCCCATCCAGAGACAGTCATCTGAGACTACTAAATCTTAATGAACTGGTTGTTATAATTCTAAATGTAATGAAAACATAAAACCCAATTGCCAGAATAGACAGTTGTCGTTAGACTAATAAGATACACAGTTTGCTTATGCTGATGTCTGCCACAGTCTTGTCCTGCTTGCCTGACAGTGCCCAAGTGTCCCAGATCTCCACAATGGCAGACACAGAGGCAGACGATGAAGGATAAAATTGCTTTGAAGTAGCTTGGGAGGTTGGAGACATGGACACGTGCAAGCAGACTGCAAGAATGGCCATAAGGATCAGGCTGAAGGTCCAGCTAGCCCAGGCTCTCTTCCCCTCTCAGCATCACTAGCAGACACTTAGGGTAGATTTTGGGAAGACGGCAAATGCGTTTAACACCTCCCCAGTACCCTACCCAGCTTCCAGAAATGTGCAACTCTGGGATTTCCTGAGCCTGAGATGGTATCTCTGTGTTGAGTCATGCTTAGTAGACAGTCTCTTCCAAGGATTTGTGTAAGTGCATTTTGACCCCATAATAAATTTGCAGCAGCTACAACATCCTGTGCCAGAGCGCCACAGCTTTGTTAAAGGCTGCAAGACAAACTGCTTTCTTTTGCTTGTTTGAATTTGCTAGGGTGAATATAAATCTGAATTTGCCCATGCAGTGCTACTGGGCAGGGAGGGGTCTTAATAACCCTTACCTTCTTATATGTGTGCCTGGTGAGTTATATCACACACACGAACATTTTATATATATATATATATATACACACACATGTATAATATACATATATTTCTCCTTACCCCATACTCTTAAAACACAACATGTGCAAACGTGTGTGAGATTTAATTCTTCTCTAGACATACTCTGTGGGGCTTACTGGCCTCTTCATTTGGCAAATTTGGGCCAAGATACAAAAAATGAAAATGCACATTGAGGTGACTGCAGAGTCAGGCATTTCCAGAAGCAAATGTGTTAGCGACCCCATGTGCCCTTGTGAAAATTGTGTAGGAATTACCATCACAAGCTCCACCATACAATCACATTAAGCTGCTTCACACTGTCTTTTTATCTAGCAAGGTCCTTAGGGCAGGAGCGAATTGCATTTGCAAGCACCTCAAGGCTCTCTCAGAGTGTGGAGCCGGGTACGGTGTCCTTAATAAGCCAGAGAGTGAAGCAGCTTGGAGCAGCCCTACAGGGCTTAGAGACAGATCCAGCACCCAAACCACAGTCAGTGAGGTCTTGTCCTGAATACAAGGTAGGTCCCCGCCGGCTGTGCCAGCTAAAACTGCAAAAGGGCCCCTTTTCTTAGAAGTAGCCCCCGCCGCTGGGGTTGTATCTTCAGTGGTGCCCTGCAAGAGCTCTGAAAGTCAGACTGTATGGGTAGAGCTCATCATACATAATCAACCATGTTAAATTTCAGCATGGACTGCCCTCATGATCAATTCCCCTCTGCACTCAGCATTGATGCTGGTGGAACCAATGACTGCTTTCCCCAGATAGATATCTAAAAACAGAGAAATGACTTGCTGGCTGCAGGTTTCTGCCTCTCCCTGCTCTGTCTACTCTACCACTGCATGGGTCCTGCAGAGCCATCCCAGGACAGACCACCCCCACAGGTCTAAAGATAGCCAAAACTAGCTAGACAGCAATTTTGAAATATTCAGCATCTCTGCCTGACATGTTCCTCCTCCCCATCATTACCGCTAACACACCAGAGTGTGTTATTAATCACTAACATGCAATGAAAATACTCAGTGCATTCCCTAGCATGGCTAGTGCTATCCATGATAGATGCTCATATGGGAACTTGGCTCCAAATTCTTTATGGGGTAATTCAGGCATCTAAACAGGATTCTAGCACCAGCCATTTTGGAGCCTTAAAGCCTTTAAATGGATATGAGTAATACCCTGATTGAACCCAGCAGCCCTAGAGGAGTTAGATGCACGAAAAAGCCTCCAAGCCTCTGAACTGCAGGCACAAACATGTACTGGAAAACATACCTTCCCAGTTTGTTGTGAGAAAAGAGACAGGCTGTGGAAGCCCATGACGCACCAGGCATCCTCTCTGCGACACATCCTCTGGGCCTCCCAACAGAAGGTGCTAAACCTCGCTGTGTAGTCTGGCTAGCTGACCTTCCCCTCTCCCCAGATAAAGAACACATCCCAGAAACAACTGTCACTTTGAACTGGTTGACATTGCTGGTGTGCTTTGACTCTGATGTGCTTCAAGCAGGCATGTCCAACACACAAGGGATCTTAAGTCTGCTGGACCCACTGCATAAATCTCCTGCTAATGGGGGGAAGTGACAAAAGCAAGCGAGTAATACTATAGTATTACAGCAGGTAGAAGTGCTGATACCCAGGTATCGCCCTACTCAGTTTGAAATGATGCTAGCTGTCCTACTCGCTGGCAGAAAGGAGGATGCCTTCAGTGACCTCTCCAAGCTCTGGAGCAAAAGAGGCAAACAGAGACCACTGCAGGAAGAGACTCTGAGGGCCACTAACGAGGGGAAGCTCAATGAGATGTCGTCAAACAGCGCTCCAAGCTGGCCAGTCAGAGGCTCTGAGGCAGTCTGTACAAAACATTAAATCCCAGCCCAACGTTATTTCTTTGAATTTCTGCCATAAGACAACTAGCCAAGGCATTTCTTCTGGGCATGGCTCTGAGAGCTCAGCGTAGAAAGAAAAAGAAATGACTCAAGACCCTGTTACGATTTCTGGAAGCTAGCCAGCATCTGCCTGTCACAGGTATGCTTTGGGGCATAAGTCAACCTTAGCTGAGGAGGAGAAGAGATGGATATAGGGGAGTGGGCAGGCTCTCATCCCTTCCCGTGGGTCTGACCAGGGCAGAGATGGAGCCCAAGGCAGGACATGAGCACTGGTGTTTGACCCATGGGCTGTGGCATGGAGGAAAGCAACAAACTCTTTGTCCATTCCAAGAAGCCGCTCAGAATCAACACTGCTCTTTCATTTACAGTCTACTCCCAGCACACATTTAACCAGCCATATGCATCTAAATTGTACAGCTAAAATGTCCACAGAGCAGAAAAGAATGACTGCATTAGGATTAAAATTCAAGATTACACGCTGGAAAGCATGAGGTTTATGATGTCATCAGGTCCTTCTACCATCATCATTATTTTCTGAAGTCTTTCATTATATTCTGCTGCTTGGGAGGAAGGACAGGGGTGGGCCACATCTGGATGAGGTAAGTTGCTGATCCCACGCCTTATACAGCTGGTCCTCCCCGAAGGGCCCTCAGCTCTCATGGTGAGACAAGGTGGGCATGGCCAACAGCTGAAGACGTGACCAGAATAAACCAGATGTACCACCACATGAAGCTCCCAGGGAAACCTCCTCTGCGCCTTCCCACCTCCCCAGGCCCTGAACTGCAGGGAAACAAAAGACTCCAGCAGGAAAGAGAGAGAAAGGAAGAAAATGATCTTTGCAGTGGGTATAACTCACATTCCCGGCAAACACTGACAGAAACCATGAGTTGCTTGTTCTGTGCGATTTCTTCCAGCCCTTGGGAGCACTGAGCATCTCTCCTGCAATGAGACATAATCTGCTCTGCAGAAATAAGGTGTCCCGTGAACCCTTCTCAAAGCAGAGGGGATGGCACTAGATGTGCATTTTAAAGGAACAGATGGATCAAAGTCCAAAGGAAAAGTGTCTCAGGAAACAGTGTTCTCTGATGAGCTTGGAGGAGACCTAGACAACTAATAATAACCGATCCAGTTAAGTTTAGAGGGAAGTAGAGACAGCAATGCTGCATCAGTAGCCTTCCCCTTGAATCCAGTTTAGCCCAAAACTGATGTGTGGTTTTAGGAAAGCTGTATTCCGTAAGAAGTACTATCTTTTAGAAAGGATGATGACCTAAAGTCAGGTCATTTGTGGCTGTTAAAAGTCTTACAACCAGTGTGGGGGTGGTAGTGTCTGCCCAACAGTTACCTGTGCTTTAACTTCTTATACATAGTGTCAGGTGGATATATTTTTTCCTTCTGTTTCTCTTCTCCAGTGCAGCTGTTGAAGTAATTCCTGTGCATAAATTTTCTTTCTATGTCTCTCTCTGTCCACCTCCCTGTCCCCATTTTTCAGTTCTTCCCTCACTGCCTTGTAGCCTGTCACTTTTTAAATTTTATTCTTGTCTCCCTCTGTCCAGCCCCTTGTCCCTTTTTTTTTTTTAATTCTTCCCTCTCTGCCCTGTAGCACGTTGATTTTAAATTTTATTTTTGCATATCTCTCTGGCCAGCTCCCTGTCCCTCTTTTTACTATCACAAATAACCAAATTTCAGTGGCACACCTCAAAAGCAGAACCACGCTTACTCCTGAGCGTAGTTGTTGAGGTCTGGGAGTTTGGTTTGGCCCTGATGGGTTGGCATCTTCAGGCAGGGCAGAACTGTGTATAATTACTGCATCTTTCATAGTTTTGAACAGCAACATTCAGCCTGCAGTCTGAAGCCTTCTAAGGTATTAATAGAAAGTAACAACATAAAGCAAATCTATTGGCATGCCCATCCTGCACAGCCTCTGGGAACTGCTGTAATTCCCCAGTGCTGCAGTCAGCGGCTGGGGGAGAGCAAGCATGAGCACAGCTCATCAGCTTTTCTTTCCCAAGTACATTTTATTGGGGATGGAGCTGAAGAATGGAAAGGGGTGGAATGTAACTTAAAAACAAAGCTAACTTGATTATTTGCATGCTGTTGATCCTAGTCTTCAATTTATCAGAATTAAATTTAATTTTAAAAAGTATGATTAACTAACAGGGCTTAGGAAGACAGAAGATAACCCATCTTTATGCTGCAAGTAGATTCCCAGTCCACAGCTTAACCAGCTGAGAGTTATGGCGGCTCATTTGCATTTCCTAAAAGCACAGCCACTAGAAACAAAAGCAACATTAAAAAATCTCCAGGCTTAATGCAGTGCCAGGCTCTACATATTAGACTGACTACTGTCCTGACACAGCAGAATCCTGCACACACAGACCCTGCCTAACACTCTTCATTTCAGCCAAGTAACAGCAAGCAGCAGCTGACTTCCAACTAACTAACTTCTTCTGGGTAATGCTGTGAGTACCCCTATGAAGCACATTATCTGTTTATGCATCTGTTTAACTGCATGGTCATAACTGACCGGGATGGTTGAAGAATGCTAACATTAAAAGCTACTGGAATGGTTTTGTGTTCTGGATAAATGAATAGGCTTGGGGTATGGAATCAACTCTTCGTCCTTTTGTTGCCCACTAAAGGGCACGGCAGCACTGTGAAGACAATTACTGTTATTAAACCATCAGTGTGGCTCCAGGAAACTGGAGACTGCACTGAAATTTAATTATGGAGAGCAGCAGGGGAGGGGGGCCTCTGGGAGGATGTGGGCGAACCTGTAAAATGCACTTAGTTTTGCTGATATTCTGAAATTACTTCAGTGCAAATTACTATATTGCTGTGTGCTGCCCACAGCTGGCAGGAGCAGGCCACTTCCCTCCTCACATCTTTAAAAATAGTTGTTTAAGAGGAAAAGACATCTGTACCACAGTATCAATCCTAATTACTATTGCTTCAGTTGGGAATTATCTTTGGAGGCTGCTCCTCCATATCAGCAGTGCCTGGAAGTCAGATAAGATGTGTTCAAAACTTGCTGGGGCATGTGCCAGGGCCACCCAAATCTGGTCACAGAGTAACCCTGACTCCCCTGGGCCGTTCTGCAGAGAGTTGATGCAGCGGGTCAGTACAGCGATGATGCACCCCACCACTAAGTGAAGTCCTGCCAGACAAGGTCCCAGCCAATGTGAACTCATCTGAAAAGATGCCGTTGTGGAACAGTATCTCTTTTTGTCTGTCTGTCTTCACAATCAGACAAGGAATGAGACCTGGACATCCATATCGCAACCACTAGTTCGCGGCACTGCTGCCAGCCTCCTTACCTTCGGGCTCTGCCGGTCAGTCTGTCCTTTCCTTTGGCTCGGCTGCTCACAGCAGGTACTGCTTTTGGGCCAGGATCGCTCACATTCACTCCGTGCTGTCCTCCACCTAGAAGACAGGTTGGAAATGCCATGCAAGAGCAGGCAGAACCAGTTGATGGACCACTGAAGCGGCCAACATCCTTGTATCACTGGAAAGTACCTCTTGGGGGGGGAAGCCTCTGAAGCTGTATGCATACTGTACATATATTTTCTGAAGTAATAAATACAAATTGAGAATTTAGGGGTGTTTCTTCTGCATTTTTTGTTCCAAATTCCAATTATATCTTTAAATCTCATTCCTTGGATACAGTCTCCCTTGTGCTGTTCTTGGAAGACTTGTTCTTATTCTCCCTTGCCACAGAGCTATGAGAGCATCCACGTGGTATGTCTCCAAAAGGCACTCCAAATCTGCGAGAGTGCCTGGAGAGAACTCTCTCCATGAGGGCATATCAGAGGTGCTGACATTTAGTGGGGTGATGCAACTGAGTCGCATGGTTTACTCACCTCTCCCGTTGGGAGGAAAGGACCTGTGCTGGAATTTCCTTGCGTTTCTTCCCCCTGAAAGGACAAAGCAAAGTATGCACAAAAGTGAGTGAGGTTCTGTAATGGACATGCAGCAGAAAGCCTGACGTTCAAATAGGGTGTCACAAGGGAAAGCTTTGGTCTGCCAGTCCATCTCCTGAGAAACAGGAGTTGTGATGGACTTATGCTAGTAAAGAAGCCAGCATGTGCCACAGGGATCAGAGATGATGTGCTCTGGAATAGGATTGCCTCTCAAACCAGTGTTTGGGAAAGGAGGCAGTGCTGAGCCTCCGTATTGTGTCATACAAGGTTACAGAAACTGTGCCACTGCTCTCCCTGGGAAGGTAAAAAGCACTAGCACCCAGACGCTCAAATCCCATCCCCTGAGCACTCTGCAAGTCAGAGAGGGCTGAGACCCCAACACTGCGCTCAGAGGCGTTTGCCCAGGAAAGCAGAGTTTCACGACTGACAGCCAGGACAGCTGCTGTGGCACTGGGATTCGCACGATCAGCATTCACTAGCATCAGGACAGAGTCTAGGTGTCCCTTGCCAACCTTTCTTATTGCTGGGATTATCCAAGGCTGGCTCCCCATCCTTAACAAAGTCCTCTTCAAACCTGCAGGTTAAAAACAGGCATTGTCAGACCTGACCGTTCTCCTCCGGTGTGCAAAGGCGTGGGCAGGAGACCTCAAGACGACGCAGGCTTCAGCCTTCGGCCCTTCTGCACCTGCCCACTGGCAAATATGTGCAGGTTTATCAGCAGGAGCTGAAACTGCATGCACTAACCAGGAGAAATGAGGCTGTGAGGCAATTCTACCCCAAAGGAGAACCTCTAAAACCTTTACATCTGTACCCATATATATATATATATATATAATTCTATGAACATCCATGAAGCCTATAGATGCCTGTAGTGTAACTGTACAAGGCTCAAACGCAGCTTCCCAAGCTTCTAAACACAATCTGAAGTAGCTTCAGGACTTGCCTTCTCAGATCAGACCTGTCAATCAGACTTGTTTGGTTGGTTTCTAATCCTGCTTGTTTTGTATTATGGCTTTTCTCTTAAAATAAAATTGGATATACGGAAGAACAGTAGGGCTCAGACCTGTCTTGCCAGCAACACTCGCACCCGCTGAAGTCAATTCACCTCTAATTATTGAGGTCTCGGTGACTGAAAATCTAACTATTTGGTCCCATTCCTCAGCCAAGAGATTGTCCCATCTATCTGCCCTGTATAAATTCTTTTATCAGCAAACCCATGTAATGTCCCCTAACTCCACACCCTATCAAAACATTATCTTGCTGCAGGTGCTAAGTCATTCTCCAAAGCTTTCTAGCCAGTGTGACCCAGCTGGACAAGCACAGTTAGAGGGACAGTGTTTAAAGCGGGGAAGTGTCAGATCCCCTCAAGAGCTCTCCCACGTTGCTGTCCCCAGCATTTCCCCCATATCATATAGGTGGCCCTTTGAAGTGATCCCCTCACACTGCAGTGCCTGGACAGGCTGAGTTTGAGGTGTGGAGGATTTAGGCACATTGGCCTGTCCTGTTATTGAAAAGGAGAAACAAGGAGGGCAGTGAGAAAACCTGCGGACTAGCAATGTGAGTTTGTCCATCCCTGTTTCTAGAAGAGCACCTGCACCCTCCTGCCACTGGATTTGTCCATGTGGAGATGGAGAGGACCCTCCAGATGTAGACTGAGCAGTGATTCACGCTCCCCACCCTCCCACAGTCCAAGCCCTGGTGGGACCAAAGGCAGGCAATCTTTGTCAGCACACAGTATCTCCTATCAGGGCAGGAGACCTCATGTCAGAAAGAAAATATGAGAATCACGCTGATATCTGGTCCCACTGATAGACATGGTCAGGAGAAGAAAGAGACAGCGATGTGGATTTGGTCAGGGAGAGGCACACGACAGCATGCGATTTGATCAGCAATGAACATCTGCACAAGATCTCATCACTGGCTTTAGATGGCCTACTGCAGACAAACCACCCCAGGATTGTGGAGGACCTACATGTGCTCTGACTTCTCCACATCCCAAGCCCGTCGCCACTCGCCCTTCGCGTTCTTGTGACGTGCCAGTCGTTCCAGGTCAATCTGATCTCGCTCCCTCTTCCAGCGTATGTACTCCGAACGTTCCCGTCCAGTCATGGGGAAACTCAGGTCTCCAGGGCTCTTCTGCACTGACTTCCCACCATCCTAGTGGAGGCAAAAGAGCTTCTTGTTAACAAAAGTGTCTGAAACGTCTGCATTCAGCGTACTTCGTACCGTCACCACCAGAAATGCTCAGTAATATTTGAAAACAACTTGGAGCAAGGTCAGCTTCTCTCTCTAAAGTGACGTGCACACAGAAGGGCTCTGCTTTACCCATAGCCTAAATATACTGGTCCCAGGGCTGGCTGACTTTACAGAAAGGGAAACTGAGGCAGGAAGAAGTTACATGGCTTGCTTGGAGTCACATTGTAAATCCATCACCAAATCAGAACAAGCAACCATTCCCTCCCAGGGATATTCAACAATGATAATGATAATTCATGGCAACGTATTTCTAAAAAGTTGTTCCACTTCATCCAGACTACTTGAATGGTGTTACATTTCAAAGGATTAAAATTGCTTCCACCTAAACCCCTGGATTTTGCTGTCTGGATACATTCCTCTTGCCTTAATGAGATGGGGCTTCACTGCCGTTTCCCTAACCTGAACTGCAATGTTTCTTTGGTTCCTGCAGCCATATCTAACCTCCTGATCTGTAAAGCAGCTGCCATAAGACGTAGTTTTTCATTCTAGATATTCAGTACCTGATTACAAACTTTTAAAGCATGCCCCTGTAATTCTGTGTGCAAATGGCCACAGAATTGATTTGCCCCATTTGTACCTGCAGTCACTTTAACTGCAGGCATAAATTAGACAGTGGCTTTCACCTGCTGTGTTCCTGCTCACCTGAAGGTTTTAAAACCAAACATTCTCAATTTTTCCTGGAAGAGGCACTTTGGTAAGGTTTACTTATGGCATATAGTTAGTTCCTGGAGTGCTTGCAACATCTCCCAACAGAGTTTGAGAGGTTGAACTCTCATAGAAGATGCAAAGGGCTAATGAACCCCCCCACCTGAAGACTTTAGGACACTTAAAGTTATGCCTATGAAATCCTTCACACTGACAGGGTCGAGAAGGAAGGCAGCCTTCTGCGACCACCAGGCATCCATAGGAGTCCACAGACACAGGGTTGGGGCTGACCCTGTGCCCAGGGCATGCGGTACTGCGAGTGCCAAGAGCAGCATTCTTGGAGCAAAGGGGCTCTTCACCTTCATTGCTTTCAGCCTCTTGGTTTATCACTCCTCCTCCTCATGATAGACTAGTTAAGGGTTGCCACTGTTCAAAAATTTAAAGCTGAATGAAGAGATAGCTCAGAGCTGATGGAATACGTGAAGAGGGAGAGGTGGGTAACCAAGCTGTCAGGTTAATGGACATGGTGGAAACAGGAGCCAACGGGCCATGGTGTGTTGTCAAGCAACACTGTGTAGTGAATAGCTTAGTGCAGAGCTGAGTCTTGGGGTGCTAATTACCAGCGGATAATTCATCACTTCATACACGTGCCCTTCCACACCAGCCACCCTCACCCCATCCCCAAACAGGAACTAACTCCTCAGTATTGCACTGCTGATAAAAGCAGAGCAGCAGGGAAGGAGTGAGTGAAAGCTCTGCTACCAAGGAGACCCACCTGCATGGGCCAGAGATGGGGTGGCAGTAATTGCTCTTCCATTCATTAGCTGGCAGGAGCTGGGGGACCTGAGACTGCATGCCCAAGAAGGGAGAGATGAGGTCCACAGAAAGGCAAGGCACACCAGGGCAAAGCAAGGGCAAGCACTGGTCCCTGGGCTGGGGCACAGGCCTGGAGATGCTCCCCACAGCTTCCAGCCCCATGGCACAGTAAGGCACAGTCGGTCCTGCCACGACAGATCCTGATACACCCATAGAGGAGAAGCATGCAAAGGCTGAGCAGCATACAGCTAGTGAGAGCAGGGTTCAACCTCCAGAGCTGGAGGATAAGGGAAGTACCCTGCACCATTACCTTGACCCTTAGCAAAGGGGAAGCCAAAAGTGATGGAAAGACTGAGGCTGGTGCCTGTGCTCTCTCATGGGTGGATGCAGAGGTGGCTGTGGGGCCCTCAGAGCAGGGGAAGCTGGTCCCTGACCAGGGGCTCACCTCAGTTGCAGCATAGCTGTGGTTAGCTGGACCACAAGGCTATCGTGCTCCCCTTTTCTGCTCTGGGGGGGCTCAGCTGGAATTAATGTTTAAGAGCCCATCTGTGTCCTCCTAATGAATCACACTGAGGTGGGGCTATTCAATTCGTGCTCCATTAATTAAGAGCATCTGCAGGCTCGGGGGAGCCAGCATGTTCTCTAGGGTTTGCACTAAACAATCAGTGGGAAGGCCCGTGCTTTAATTTACCTCCATCCTACTCAGCTTCTGCTGAAGTGAGGAGCTGTACTAATACAGCCTGAGCCTTTCAACCCACAAGCAAATGTTTTTGGGAGAGAAACCAGCTAGGGCTGTGCTGCCACATGGGTGAGCACGTGTTACCCCTCGTAATATCCCTGCTGCTGTGCTAGGGGCTTAAGCAGCTACAACAAGGTGTGAGGGCAGGTCCCCTGTCACCTCTTTCCACTGCTGCTTTGCTTCAGGTGTGTTAGCTGCTCAGCAAAGCTTTGGATGATGAGAGGGATGAACGGTGGGGACCACATCAGAGCACATTGCTGCTTCCTTTAGGACTGAGGCAACTCTTAGTGGTGAGGAGGCACATCCTACTGGTTTCCTCTTCCAAGACAAGGGTCCCCCCAAAGGGACACGGGTCCCCACTCACCTTCCGACCATGCTCACTTTCTGGGCCTCTGTCACTGTCTGATCTCCTCTTCTCTGCTGTTCTCCTCTCCTCTGCCTGCAAGAGCACAGACACAGGAATTATTTCAAGGATTAAGCAAGGACTCCTGGCAGGGGAGTCAGTGCCTGACCCTGTGCTCACCAGGACATGTAAGAACTGCCCAGAAAAGGTCAGCAAAAGAGGAAAGATTGGTTTCTGGAGCCCTGAATCAAACTGATGTGGAAAAAAAGAAGTCAGAAAGTAAGGGATGTATGAGAAAAGCAAGAAAATGGGATGCATTCCCACAGGTCCCTCCTCCTGCCAAGCTAGAGGCAAAGAGGTGTCCTGTATGGTCCCATTTCTTTCCAAGGCAGACCAAGTTTCAGGTACCTTTTCAGAGTTGGGCCAAAGACCCAGCTTACAATTCAACTGTACGAGAGCTGGGAGCCCATCTAAGATGCAGCCAGCATGGTAAAGTTAGGAGTGATTTTTGTCCCTGTCAAACACAGTGCCCTTCTATCAGGGTCCATCCCTGCTTCCACTGGCTTTAGCCATGCTGCCACCAGATTGGCAAGCTCTGCTCTAGTGTTGATATCCCCCCGCCTGGCAGGAGGTGAAAATTAGCCCCTCCGTCTTAATGAACTACAGACACTAAACATGAGGCATGCCACGGGCCAGGCAGTTCTCTGCCCCTATGTGGGACTGATAATACAGACACAGCCATGTCAGACGCCAGGGTGGGACCACAGTGGGTCTTAGCAAAATAGTCTGCAGAGCATAAATATCTTTCAAGAAAGACCTTCTGCCCCAGTTAGATAGTATTGTCGGGGTGCCACTGGGAGGGCTGCTTGCCGTTGCATGTGCTGGGCAGATGAGGGCAGGGTACCAGCCTGCCCCCCACGCTACTGAGTCCCTCGGGGCAGGGGGTTGGTGCTTGCTCAGGGCTCTGCCCTGGGAGCGGCGCCCACCCACCCGGGCATGAGGGCAGGGTACCAGCCTGCCCCCCACGCTACTGAGTCCCTCGGGGCAGGGGGTTGGTGCTTGCTCAGGGCTCTGCCCGGGGGCCGCCCCCCCCCCCCCCCCGGGCGCTGCCATAACATGTGATTTGCAGCACGGCGGCTGCCAAGTGGCACAGCATTTATCACGGCTGCCTCCCCCCGTTTTGTAACCGTACATGGCAGCCCTGGGGCTGCCTCACACAAACACTGCCACGAGCAGAGAGGCCCCAGCATGCTGCAGCCCAGCGGGCCCCCCTTGCACCCAGCAGAGCCAAGGCATCCCCAAATTCCCCTCCCTGCTGAACTGCTACGGGGCCGGGGAGCGTGTGGGGCTGAGATTATCATGCTGCCATTTTGCACCGCCAAGCAAAACTGAAACACAAAGAGGAAAGTCGCAGCACAAACTGCCAGGTCAGCCATTCGAGAAAGTGTCAGTGCCGTGAGGTCCAACCCAGGCTGGAAACAGGACTTTTATTCCAGTCATTTGCCAGCCCCAGGTTTAGCCCAGCATTATGGGGCCGGGTGCGGGAAACTCGGGATACCAGTCTCAATACCAGACAGCGCTGCCTAGCCTCCTAAGGCAACTCATCCCCATTGCAGCCTGTTCCCGCGTACCCGGTAGGATCGTGCAGGGAGTGAGCTGGGGGCAGCCTTTTTGGGGATTGTCCGCATGTGCTAAATCTGAGGCAGGTGGGAAGTCCATATAGCCAGTGCTCATGGACACTGCACGACAGCTTAACTGGTCTGACTGGTGTGAAGCTGGTGTAGCTCCAGTACAGGTGGAAACTTGTGTAAACAGATCCTTGGAAATAACGAGGAAGATGTTAGCTATATTGTCCTAGGATTTCTCAGCAAAGATTTGGGGAAAAATGCAGAGGGGTCTGTGCTCAGAGAAGCCACCCCTCACCATATCCTGGCCTGTTGCAAAACGGGCCAGGATATGGTGAAAGATGATATTGGGTATTTATTTCAAAAGGTTGCTGCAAAAACTTATGTAACCAAAAATGCTCCCTCCAGGCTCAAAGACAACTGCTTGTGCAGCCCCATTTGAAGAACCTAGTAGCGAGGGATCTAACAAGTTTCCATAGCCCCAAACTGAGACCTTGCATTTATAGAGAGATTAAAACAGCAGAAACCTGGAAACTTTGCTTATTTGAGGAGGCTGGCTGGGGAGCAAGGTGCAGATGGATGTTTAGCCTTTAAAGCACCTGTAAAAGAAACTCACCATTTTAGAAAGAGTACAAAGGAGCCAGCTGCTGCAGAAGAGCTGGAGCCCCTCCGTCCCTGGGGGAAACCTTGTGTGGAAAGAGAGACAGGAGAGAAGGAGCACTGATTGCCTCGGAAATGCCAAAGACAGCTCATAATTGATGGGGAAACTGAGGCAGGGAGCTGCATGGGTGTGCTTATTGTTTCATCTGAGTCTGCATATTTCTCATGCAAGCTCATGCAAAGAATGATTCGGTTTGGACCCTTTACAATGCCTGATTGTGTCCCCAAAGACGGGAACCGGAAAGCCAGAGCATCCGCACAGCCGGAGCACTGAGCCAGGGTGTGCATAAGCTGCGGGGGGAGCAGTGTGCCTCTGCCTGTCTGCAGCCCAGCGCAGCTTGACTTCAGCCCTGCCTCTGCCAAGCAAAGAGTGAGCCTGCGCCCAGGAAATGTGCTGGGACGGCCCAGCTGAGGGACTGTGCTGCAGCTCGCGAGACGCGGGAGAAGACGCAGCTCCTGCATGGCTGGCCAGCACCGGAGACCTGCAACCCAGAGGCTGTCCCGTTTTGGGCACCAGCTCTTCAGTGCACACCACAAATCACTCTGCCACAGGGACGCTGTACGACTCCATCCTTTCCGGAGCACTGAGCCAGGGTGTGCATAAGCTGCGGGGGGAGCAGTGTGCCTCTGCCTGTCTGCAGCCCAGCGCAGCTTGACTTCAGCCCTGCCTCTGCCAAGCAAAGAGTGAGCCTGCGCCCAGGAAATGTGCTGGGACGGCCCAGCTGAGGGACTGTGCTGCAGCTCGCGAGACGCGGGAGAAGACGCAGCTCCTGCATGGCTGGCCAGCGCCGGAGACCTGCAACCCAGAGGCTGTCCCGTTTTGGGCACCAGCTCTTCAGTGCACACCACAAATCACTCTGCCACAGGGACGCTGTACGACTCTCCATCCTTTTACACCCCTCGCTCAAAGCCTGTCCGCCTTTTTCCTTAGCCTGCTTCTATTTTTGCTTCTCAAAGGGCACTGAGGAAAACAGAGAGGACCAAAAACATCTGGTTCTCTTCTACCAGGAAAGCAGGTCTGAACTATGCAGTTAAGAAAACATGGTTAGCTTTGCTTTTGCACTGGCTCAGGAGCAGATTTTCGCATTTGCTCCATGCTGCCCCAGAGCTGCTGTTAGCCTGTTATGACACACCCAGGCCATGGGGAAGCAAAACATGTTTTTCTCCTCCTTCCTCCTCTCCGCCCCCAAAAATTATGAAATATGACAATGACATTATCATCTCATAGTTTAACTGTTCCTGCACAGCAGGGGAAGAGATGTGAGGAGGGAACAAAAACCTAAAGTAGACAGAGAAGATTACGTTTGTTTATCCTGAGATTTATGCAAGGATTTCTCAATTTCTCAGCCACAGAATGGTCCAGGGTGGGGCTGAGCCTGCTCCTAACCAGGATACGTCCCTGGGATCCCAAAGGCTTTCTGACGCTGGGTTTGTCTGACCTCCTGACATACATATACCCAGCTAATGTTAATGTACAGTGGTGACAATGCTGATGCCATTATCCAGCCATGTTAAGCATTGTTTTGTACTAACAGTTCTCCAAACCAAAAGCTTTGACAAGCTTTGACATCTCTGGGCTACTTCACTATTTTCTTATTTTAAAAATAAGTACCAACAGATGTGTTAAATTAACCTTTTGGTACCCGCTTCTCCAGGCATGTATCGGCACCAGAACTGGCATTTCTTCTGCAGGAGGAGATTTTTGTAAGAGCTTAGAGCTGGTTTTCCAGTGCTCGGATCCCCCACTGGGCAGGATTTTTGAAACTAGTACATTAGAGGATATATTTTTCTAACTCTTTTGAAAAATCTGCCTACTAATTGTGCTGCCTGAAGGGAGCTAAAGACTTCTCAGCCACCCTTTCTGCTTACCTTGCCCTCCCATCTGCAACGTAAAAGCAAGTGCTTCTCCTGCCACAGGTTTGGTTCCTCTCCCCTGCAAGCACGGGAGTCAGACTCATCAGCATAAGTCCCTGAAAGCAGCTTTTGTGTCTCTTGATTACAAACAGTCATTTCTGATATACCATCCTGGGAAACTCTGTTAATAAAAGGACAATTTAAAAGCCCTGAAGCCCTATCAACTGTCCATTTAAAAGATGATTTGTAACCTGCTAATTAACCATTGTGCTCCACTGGTCCTGGGCTGCCAGCTTGCAGCTCTAATGTATTAATGATCCTGAAACACTGCCAGAGCATGGAGTGGCTTTTTAGGAAAACTGGTGCTAAACGTTAGGCATTATCCCCTGCCCTGCTTGCAGATTTAGGGGCAGCCAGGCAGAGGTGGGAAGAAAGGTGCCTGATGTGGCACCTCCACGCCAGCAGCAGCACTGGAGGCCGTGAAGTTGCATCAGTAGAGCGATGTGCTCAGGCTAATTTGTTCTGCAAGGAGACAGGATAATTTGGTTCCCCCAGCCCTCTGTGCTAACAGAGAGTGAAAGAGTCTTTCACTGGGTAGAAAAAAATAATGGCAGGGTAATATAAGGCACTGGGACTGTTTTGGAAAAGCAAATCATGAGAACAGCTTTTTTTTTCTTGCATTTCCTCTTTGGCAGCTTCTGCTACAGCTGTGTGCTGCCAGCTGCGATGTGGTCTGGGACTGACAATGTGGTGCTAGCTAGAAGCACAAAGGGCAACAAGAATGGGAGTCTTTTTTTTTTTTTCCTTTTTATTGAATTTAATCATGAATAAAAATAGAGAAAAATGTGGGATAACAAGGATGCCCATCAAATGTTTTAATAGGATAAATTTGGCAAGTGCAGAGAGGAGGAGGCAAATTTGACAGTGGCCAGGCTATGGGATGTTACTGAAGGGGGAGTGACGGATGTGATCCTCCCTCCTAGGCACCACAGGCCTCTGTGGGAGGGAGGACACAAATAACCCAGAATGAGCAGGGAACCAGCTGGGGCATGAGGCGAAAAACCCCAAAGGATGGACTGTGCTGGGGTAAAAAGGGAGGCTGAAAGCTAATGCTCAAATTGAGGGTCTCGGCTGAGGTCCTAACACACAGCTACTCAGATGACAACACTGATGCCCCATCAGGCTCCCGCAGTAGCTGATCAATTTGGGAATAAAACCAAAGTTTCTCTTTTGGGTTAACAACTAATTAAAGTCTAGAAAACAAAAAGTGGCAAGAAAATGCCAGTTTCCATGGTAGAAGATTAGCAGGGGTGTGCCACTGGAACATGCACTGCTCAACATGCTCATAAATGGTCTGGAAAAGGAGCTGAATAGAGAGATGACAGTTTGCTGATGATACTAAATCATCCAGGGCAAAGAATGTAATTTGCCAGGAAAGAGCTGCAAAAGATCTCTTGACATTGAATGCCTGCATCATAAAATTACAGATGAAATTCAATATCAATAATACAAAATAACTCACATGGAGAAAAATGCCCCTTCTTATATATACACACACAGTAATGAAGCTTGAACTATGATTAACACTCAGGAATGAAATTTTTGGTGTTATTGTGACTAGTTCTCTGAAAATGTTAGCTCAATTATTTAGAAAAAAAGCAAAGAAAATGCAAAGTTGTTAGGAGAAGAATAGAGAACAAGCCAGAAACATTGTTATGTCACTGAGTACATCCACAAGAGCCCGCAGCTTGCATACCATGTACAGTTCTGGTCCTCTTGTATTAGAAGAATATAGTAAAAATACCAAAGGCACAAACGAGGACAATGAGAGTGATCAAAAATATAAAACTACTTCCTCACCAGACATGTCTAAGTAGGGTCAGTCTCTTAAGCCTGCAGAAGAGATGGCTGAAGGGAGATGTGAAATGGGTCGATAAAATCATTTGTGCTTTCAGAAAGTGAATGGGATGATCTATGCACTGCTTCCCATGACGCAGAAACATCAACTGGAGTTATAGGGTAACAGGTTTGAAGAAAAAGAAGGGATGCATGTTTCAACACAGCATGTCACTTAACATTGCAGTTCCTGGCTGGAGATGTTGTGGGGGATAAAGTTTAGATGGACTGAAAAAAAAAAGATTAGAATTCAGGCAAGAAAAAGCCTGTCAAGGAGAAAGATGCTGTTCTTGGCAGAGGAGGCCCCTAACTTGGGGGTGGCGAGTATAGGAGGGGCGGGATGACTGCAGGTTTCCCTGGTCTTCTGCTCTTTTCCTGACGCTGTGCTGCTGGCTGCTGCTGCAAACACAGTGTAAACACTGCTGCACTGACGCTTCTGTTAGTGCACGGCCCTCACTGGGCAGGTGCCAGCTCTTCTGCAGTGCTGGGGTGGCTTTGGGTTGCAGAGCCCACCAGGGCTGGTTTCCCTGTTTAACAGCTGGTTCCCTGTTTACCAGTTTTCCTGAAGTGACGCAGTGCTAAGCCACTCAGCATCACTCACGTGCTTACTGTCACCATAGCCAGGAAGGCAGAGGCGTGCTATAACCCTGTTTACGTGGGGGGAACTGAAGGCCAGGGCTGCTGGGGTTTGTGGATGCTGTGATCCCACCAGTGCTGGTGGGATTCAGCTTCCATTTCCAAATGAATTGCTGTAATCAACATCCCTGTGACACACACTGAGTTCTGCAGGCTAAAATTATTTAATAGAGGTTTTATACATTTTGGTATTACTAACTCTGATCTGCTCTCTGCACTGCAGTCTTCCAGTGCCTCTTGGAGAAATACATTGCTCTGAGGCACAGCATGTGAGACAGACTTGCCTGGTTTCAATTTTTCAAGTGCTATCCCTATCAGAAAAAAGAAGTACTTGTTTAAAACACTAATCCTTAACGCAGCTTAGGAACAGCTGAAGTGACAGGGTGGGCCAGACCAAATCTCCCTTGACTCAACCAGCCCAAGCTGGCATGATGTGTGAGATGCCAACGTGACCTGTCACTTCAGGCCCCATCTGCTTCTGTCACTGATCCTGGGAAAAGGTTGACCAAGTGCGGATGGAAGAAAGTAGCTTGCAGAAGTGACCGTGAAATCCAACCATTTAACTCTCTTACAGCCACATCCTTTCGTCACATTGTAAGGTGCCTGCATGCTGAGAGCTGTTTTTTGTCCTGGCTGTTGTAGCTGTTACACAATTAAAATGGTAATATGAAGATACCTTCATTAACTAGGGATGGAACAGGGCCTGATCAGTCTATGGAAATCACCAGGAACAAGGAAATCTCCTGAGCTCAGCAGGACTCTGAAACATATCCAGCTGGTAACAGGTATTGGAAACTAGAGTTTCAAACACTTTTATGTCTTTTTCTAAATTATAAGAGGAATCCAAAGAACAACAACAAATACTCCCATCAAAGCCCATTTTTAAAATGAGCTCATCAACATGCGCTACCGGCCCCTTCATTTCCCAGCCTTGGGAGGTGTGCTCCGTGGCAGCCCCTGTGCTTGCTCCCTGCCTCCTGTGCAGGTCCCTGAAGGCACCCTGCCTTCCTGGGAGCAGCAAGCCCCCATTCTGCTCTCTGTGAGCTTCCAAGAGGCTGGGGGAGGTATGCTTCTAAGCTCAGTAACAGAAAGCAGGGACAACATTTCTGTGCCAGCAAGAAGCATGATGCTATCACTAAATGGGTCTTGCCAGCTACATTAGTCCAAGACTGCTGTTGAGCCAGGATATCTGTCCAGCCAGAAGACCAGGTGATCAAGCAAAACTAATATTTCTTCTCAGTCGTAAGTAAGGCTGAGGGCATATACTGCTCCTTGGTAGTGTTGTTTGATAGCTAATTATATGAAGCCTCTGTGGCTTTCCTGTGCTCCCGACAGAGGTCCTTCTCTTCTTCAGCCAAGGCGTGAAGGCACCAAATGGCTCTGCTCAATCCTTCTCCCTGTGTAAGTCAGCACCAGCAGGCTCTCGTCAAGCACCTAGCAGGCCTCCCTTGCAGCCTGCTGCTGCTAGAAGGGTGCCTGAGCTTCAGTCCAACCCTCTGCCAACTGAGTGACTGGGTTTGGATTAAGGGAAAAAAAAGGGAAGACTTTAAATGAACTTCAGTATCTGAGGAGGAGCAGCATAGAGCTGTTTGCATTCCTGGGGATTATCAGGATTACCTTCTAGCCCAAGCTGTGTGAAGGAGACCACTGTGGCTATGTACAATTGAGGAAAGGAGGACTGACAGAGTTACGTGAACTCCTTGCACTGCTATATGGACGTAATTGCGTTCATTGGGAATGAATTTAAATGAATGAGCTTAAGTGAATGGCAGCACAGTGGGAGCTGAAAGTAGCAAGAGCAAGACCCAAGACACCAACCTCTCCCAAATCACCAAAATCAAATCTGCCGGGCATTAGGGACTTCACACCCTCTTTGCCAGCCTACGATTCAAAGCATCAGATCTTCAGTGGTTCACGTAAAAAGGTGTAGGCAGATAAGGCTTTAAGCTAGCGCAGCTGCAGGCCTGCTCTCATACACACTCTGAATCTAACTGCTTTGGGGCCAATATGAGCAAGGCATCACCAAAACCACATACGTGGACCCTCAGCCTCAAATTTCATGTTCCATAATAAAAGCATATGAGATATTACCTTTTCCAGGGCTGTCTATGCACTTAAAACAGGGCACAGGATCTGAAGCCAAAATCTAGGCACTCTTCCTGCTGCTCTCTCCTAGCACGGTCCCAGCCTTGATGACCTCAGAGATAAGTATTTAAACAAGCCCAGCAAGAGCAGAAGCAGAAAGACTTGCCCTGCACATCACAGAATTACATTTGACAGCCTCAAGGATAGCTACAGCACAGGCATGGTCAGGTCACTCTCACCCTACCATCATGTCTAGGTGTGTTCGTGATGCCTAGACTGAAATGGGCGACAGCTGCCACATGAACCTCTGGTGAATGGATAGTTACCACTGGCTCAATCAGGCAGCCTATATGAGGTTTAGGGCATTCAAAAAACTGCTTGGTAGCCATGGGAAAGGAGCACATGAGCTTTCAGAGCCTAAGGTAAACTCTGGGGAGGAGGAGAAGCTGAAGATTAACATGGGCAGTTAGCAGATGGTTGGCTGCTGTCCCAGAGAGGGTGCTACATAGGTCTCCCAGCGTTCCTGGGTGTGTTTGGCAGCTACACTAAGTGTTGTTTTCCTTCATAGTCTTTGCTGACCCTGTTTGCTGCAGGAATTCTTACTTATCTGTGCAAACTCTCAAATGGGAAAATATCACATGCCTCCGTGTGTGTAAAGAGGAAGGTATTTGCGAAGAACTATTTGAAATATGTTTCAAAGATTAACAAAGTTCAGCCAGCTCACCCAGTAGGTTATGGCCAGGCACAGCAGGACTTGGGTTTAGAAGCAGATACTGCCCAGCTCTGTTAACTTTTAAGTCATGCAGTGAGTAAAGAGGACAGCGCTCCTGACTCAATCTGGTCCCAAAAAGAAGTTGGTAAGAGACAGGAGGTGAGATTCATGCTCAGTATCTGGCAGTGCTTTCATCGAACCTCCCAAAACAGCATCTGATTATTTCTTATGGACCCAGCATGTGTAAGAGCCTGCTAGCTCTAGCTAGGATCACAGAGAAGGGAAAGGATTGTAGCCTTTCCTCTCCCACAGTGATGGAAGCCAGAGAGTTTTATGGTGATAGGCTCCACACTGTTAATATATAGTCTCTCCCAATGTCCTGTTGCTGGGCTAGCTCCTAATCTGTCTCCTTGGCCCTTCTCATGCCAGCAGAACGAGTGGATGCCACTGATACGTTGCAGTCCAGTCATGCGCAATACACTTACTTTTTCCTTGTTATCCATGGTGATGGCAATCTGCATCCTTCTCCCCCGGCGGAAAGCCACCAAATGGTCTGTCTCTTCTTCACTCAGGTCTGGCACTCTGCCTGGGCCAGGGAAGGACTCGGTGCGTTTCTCACTGACGATCCGCTTTCCCTGGAAAGGACAGAATGAGTTAATGACACCTCCATTAGCCCTGTGCAGTGCCCTTCCTAGAAGAGTGGCCATCCCCAAACTGCAAAGGATTTTGGTCTGGCAGAACAGAAACATGAGCCAGACAGTCTGTCTTCTAGGTTTATAAAGCTGCTACCCTACTTTAAGGGATATGTAATATTACACAGGCATGTTTAACTGAGCACAACTTAGGTAGGGTGGGATTTACCCTGTTCAGATGCTTTGCAGCATGAACACTGATTGACTTTATTTTAGACAGGCGAGCCATCTTCCATTTGTGTCTTTGAAACAAATATGAAGTTGTCCTCTCACCAAACAACATGTCCCAATAAAATGTGAGGCTACATTGGAGCAGAAGCCTAGAGGGTGAAAGAGAAGGGAGACAGCGGTGTTCTCTCCAACCTTGCCCACAAAGCAGTTACTACCCTGTAGTGTATTAACACTTGATAATTTATCATCTTCATAGTCATTGTGCATTCCTATTTCTGGAATGATTTATTCAGCAGTGGAATAGTTTAGAAAACTGATATATAAACTCCTTGAACAAGGGCAGTTTACCCCTTTCAGATATTATTTCCAGCTGTCTGTATCAGTTCATGACTTTACTGCATGGATTTACATCTGGTTCTTATTTTGTTAATTATCTTTGTTGCTGGCTGAGCTCCTGCTAGTGCCCTCAGCCATCACTTCCACAAAATGAGCAGATCTTTTGTGCAAAAATACATACTTTTTCTCATTTTAAAGTATCATCTTTCAGTTCCATCATGTGCCTTTTTATTTTTGCCTTACAAGGAAATGAGAGACTTAATACATCATCTCCATCTTTCTCTTGATCTTTTTCTTTTCTCTTCATCTGTGTGATTTCTCTGCTCAACTTTACCAGGGATGAACAAACCTCAGAAGCTTCCCTCTCTAAAGGATGGTATATTTTCCTCTTTTTCTCCTTGGACTTCCACGCATACTTGGAGTCTTGATTTCAAAGGAGCTCAAAATCTCCAAGTAAACTTCAGTGAAACTTGGGAACTCTTTGTTGCTATGAACTTGGTTTCAAAAACAAACAGCACACACTGACCTCTGATTTGTATGGAAGTCTTGCAAGCATCAGTGAATGCCATGACATATGATATCAAGATGTCTTGCATTAGCCTCATCTTCACTTGGCTCTGCCAGAAGTGCAGATGTTAGCTTGGAGGGAGCCTTGCTGTAGACAGCCTCCATCAGCAAGACCTTTTTTATCACTTGTCCAGTCATCAAGCTTCCTAACACATGATTAGGAGGTACTGGAGTATTTCCAGCATCAGACCTTCAGTCTCTTGTTTATTTTTCTTTCACATCTGTGTAATTTTGCTGTCTCAGCAGAGACAGTTCTTGAGTTAGTCTGATGCATGCGGAGGAGTGGGTCCCTGCACTGCTGTTGGTTTGTCTGCCAGAGCTGTGGGAACCTTTTTATATATTCCCTTGAGTATGTACAGCTCTGGTTTTAGGCTTCAGCTGTAGCTCCTAACAAGTTTTGCTGCCCTTAGTAGGACCCTTGCTATTTCTACTTTTCTTGAAATAAGTGAAGCCACATGTTGCGTCCAAAGCAAGGATCTGCTGCCAATCTGTTCAATGCCATTCTAGTACTTTCCGTGTTGTTCTCTATATTTGTGTCAATGCAGCCTCCTACTTTGACTGCTGCCGAGGACCAACATCTGTGAGCCATCCCTAGAGATGTCAAGATCTTTCTTCTGAGAGAGTAAAATCTCATAGTCAAGAGAATAGGCAATCATTTAAATATGGAGTACAACTGTCTTGGCTTCTACCATAGCCAGACATTTAGGTGTACTTTTACCTGCAGCCAGGAAATATGTCCTGGAAAAGTCCCCATATCTATAAACTCTGTGAGCTGTTTTAAAGGTTTTAGTCTATGTATCTGTCTTGAGAAGGATATGAATTTATCAGAGACCCGGCAGAGCTAGAAAGTTCAAACCAGAATCTAAACCGCTCTGAAATCCTAGCTTTACTCCCCCTCCACAAAGAGGGCATGCTATACTGTCCTTAATTACACATTCCACTGCAGTCACAACATTACAAGTGATTGCATTACTGCAGCTTAGTAAGTGACTGCCTGATTACTAAACTAAAGTCAGAACTGGTTGAAGATGTGAAGGTCGATGGCAGCTTTGGCAGCAGTGACCAGAAGACAGTGGATTTTAGGAGCCTGAGAGCAGTAAGGAAGGCAAGCAGCAGACTAGAGACCATGAGCTTCAGGAGGGCAGATGTTGACTTGTTCAGGGAACTGGTAGGCAGGATTCTGCAGGAAGCTGTCTTGAAGGGGAAAGGAGCCCAGGAGACCTGATTGATTTTCATGGACAAGGCACAATAACATAAGTAAGGACTTCCTGTGGTACAAGAAAATGAGCAGGTGTGAAAAGAGCCCAGCTTGGCTGAGCAAGGCGCTCCTGGTTGAACTTAAATGCAAAAAGGGAGTGTGTGGGAGGTGGAAAGGAACAGGGTCCCAAGGAAGATTACAGGAGCAGGACCTGGGAAGAACTGGTAGGCAGGATTCTGCAGGAAGCTGTCTTGAAGGGGAAAGGAGCCCAGGAGACCTGATTGATTTTCATGGACAAGGCACAATAACATAAGTAAGGACTTCCTGTGGTACAAGAAAATGAGCAGGTGTGAAAAGAGCCCAGCTTGGCTGAGCAAGGCGCTCCTGGTTGAACTTAATTAAATGCAAAAAGGGAGTGGGAGGTGGAAAGGAACAGGGTCCCAAGGAAGATTACAGGAGCAGGACCTGGGAATGCAGGGATGGAGTTAGGAAAGCCAAAGCTCACCTGGAGTCGAAACAAGTGAGAGATGTGAAGGTCAGAAAGGACTTCTGTAGATACATTAGCAGCAAAGAAAGTTGCAGAAAGCTGTTGGCCTGCTGCTGAATGGGGTGGGCAACTTAGTGACACAGGGCATGGAAAAGACTGGTCACTCTATGCCTTCTCTGCCTTGGTCTTTTACTGGCAAGGTCTGCTCTCTACCTCCCAAGTCCCTAACCTAGTGGCAGAGTCAGAGTCACTCCCTCAGCATCCTGGAAGATTCAGTTATGGACCATTTAAATAAAGTAAGAAGGTGGGGCTAGGTGGGCTGCATCCAAGAGTGCTGAGGGTGTAGGCTGATACTGCTGTGAGACTGCTTTCTACTGCTTAGCATCTTCTTCAGTGATCTGGATAATAGGACAGACTATGCCTTCATCGAGTTCATAGGTGACACCAAGCTGATACGCTGGAGGATGGTACTGTCATTCAGAGGGATCTTGACAAGGTGGAGGAGTGGCAACAAAAACAAATGACAAGTCCAGCACCTGGGACAAAAGAACCCTGAAGAATCCCATGCACCACTACAGGCAGGGGCCCAGCTGGCTGGGAGCAGCTCTGCAGAAGTACTTTGGGAGCCTGGTGGGCAACAACTTGACCATAAGTGAACAGTGAGGAAGGCTAGTTGCTCACTTGGTTCCATTAGCACAAGGATAGCCATCAGGTTGAGGGAAGTGATTATTTCCCTTTGTTTGGGCCATACGTGAAGTATTGTGCCCAGTTTCCCTTCGCTGCAAGATGGGAGAGGTATGGACAAATTGGAAAGAGTCTAGTGGAGGACCACCAAGACAGTTACAGGGCTGGAGCACAGGATGCACACGGTGAGGCTGCATTTGTTAAGTCCGGAGAGAGAAGAAAAGGCAACGAGGGGACCTAATTGCAGTATTCCTCCATCTGAAAAGGTGTTATGAAGAGAACAGAGCCCGACTCCTCTTGGAGGTACACAGCGAAAGGGCAACAGGCGACAGACGCAACCTGCCACAAGGTGAAGTACAACTGGAATTAAGGGAAAAAAAGTCACAGTGATGGTAGTCAAACACTTGAAAACAGGTGCCAAAGAGGCTGTGAAATCTCCATCACTGGAGATTTTCAGAACTTGATTGGACTCAGCCCTGAGCAATCTGAGGTAACTTTGAAAATAACTTTTTAGCAGGGGATCAGACTAGATGACCTCCAGAGCTCCCATCCCACCTCAGCTATTTTATGATTCTTTTATTGTGCCCAAGTCTGTAGCCTGCTTCGACTGTGAAGTAAACCTTATTTAGGTTTTACATCTGTATATGTGTGTATATGCACACATGCATGTGTGCAGATGTATACAAGTAATGGATTTAATATGCAACTATGAATTCAGTAATTTTGCCTGTTTTCTGCAGCTCTGGCTTTTATACAACTAGAACTAGGTAGTACAGACCAGAATTCAGGATCGGTCAGCCACGAAGCTCACAAGCACTTAGGTCTTGGCTTTTAAGTGGCACCTGCTTCTGACTGACTGAATCACATCACCTCCAAAGGTACCATATTTCCATTGCCAGAACTATTAGCCAATACAAACACAGGATGTTTTAAAATGAAAAGAGTATTTCAAATCCTGTTTGTGTTCTATGATTCATATATTTTATTCCTAAATTTCACTGAAACTGGAGACTGGAATTAGAATGGTCAGCATAGGATTCCTGCTTGCAGTCGAAGAAACCAATGTGGTTTTTCTTTATGTCAGTGCAAATCAGTATTAATGGATGCGGGTGAAAGAAATCTTGTGAATAGACTATCTTGGTCTTGTATTTCAGACCACAGAGCTAGGCTGGATAATTTGAAGCTGCAAATCGCTCCTGCCATCCCCTCTGGGTTCATGGGGCAATGTCTGCAGCCACAAGAGCATCCTCTGGTCTCATTCATGTTGGCAGTAACACTGAGATGATCTAGTAGCTCAGAAATACAGTATTAACATGGTCATTTTTGGAAGTTACTGTGTATCGGCACTAACAGGCCATGCCGGTGCTCTTACCTTGTGATAAACACAGGAAAATGCAGTTGTATTTAACTCTTCCACTAAAGACTATGTAAATGGACACCTGTTATATGGTAGCTTGCAAAGTTATGCTAACTGAATCATGTGCCTTCCAGACATATGAA